ACAAAGATGATTAGGGGACTGGAGGCTAAAACATATGAAGAATGGTTGCAGGAACTGGGTATGTCTAGTTTAATGAAGAGAAGGACAAGGGAGACATGGTAGCAGTCTTACAATATCTCAGGGGCTGCCCCAAAGAAGAGGGAGTCAAGCTATTCTCCAAAGCACCTGAGGGCAGGAGAAGAAGCAATGGGTGGAAACTAATCAAGGAGAGAAGCAATTTAGAATTAAGGAGAAATTCCCTGACAGTGAGAACAATTAACCAGGGGAACAACTTGCCTGCAGAAGTTGTGAATGCCCCAACACTGGAAATTTTTAAGAAGATGTTGTACAGCCATTTGTCTGAAGTGGTGTAGGGTTTCCTGCCTGGGCAGGGGGTTGGACTAGAAGACCTCCAAGGTCCCTTCCAACTCTGTTATTCTATTCTATTCTACCACCGTTCTTCCTATGTTTTAGCCTCCAGTCCCCTAATCATCTTTGTTGCTCTTCTCTGCACTCTTTCTAGAGTCTCAACATCTTTTTTACATCGTGGCGACCAAAATGGAGTTCAATATTCCAAGTGTGGCCTTTCCAAGGCCTTATAAAGCGATATTAACACTTCACGTGATCTTGATTCTATCTCTCTGTTTATGCAGCCTAGAACTGTGTTGGCTTTTTTAGAAGGTCCCTTCCAATTCTGTTATTCTGTTTCATTTGATTTAGAGCTCAAGCATCTAACCACCTTGTTGCAAATTCTCCTCCAGAAGTTTAAACCTTCCATTCTTACCTGACCCTTCGGTTACTGCTCTGGTTTTTCTCAGTTTCTTTGACACTTGTTCTGCTTTCCACACAGTGGTAATTTTCTTTTCTTTTGCAGGTTTCCTGTCAGAGTTCAGATAGCTTTAAAGATTATGATTGATCTCAGCTAAAATTCCCCAGAGTTGTCTTTCTTACTTCCTCAAACCTCTAGAATCTATGAAGACCTGTTCTCTCTCATTCCAGAGAGAAAAAGTGGTGAGAGTTACAGAATCAGTGGACTGAGAGGAAAAAATCCTCATTGCTAGAAGAATTGGACAGGGAAGTCAGAGATACAGGAGTGGCCAAAATTGTGGAAACCTTTTGGGAAAAGTGTATTTTTGAGGTTTGATGGCCAATAACATCACTTTCTTTTTTGGGAGTTTCAAGATCATCCTATTCCACTGCTGGAATGGCCTGGGAATAGCCCAGACCTTCACCCAATGGAAAATCTAGGGAGTCGACCAAAGAAACTTGTTAGTCAGAAGTGAGCCAGCCATAAAACCCAGTTAATAGAAGCCATCCTTCAATCTTGGTTTCCCATTAGAACAGCTGCAGAACTCAAAGACTTGGTTCACTCCATGGGAAGACGTTGTAAGGCCGTCATTCATGCTAAAGGTTACCCAATTTAGGATTAACTGACATGGGGATCATTTTTGTACATCTCGTTTTTTCTACCTGTTTCACTTTTCTCTTTATATTGTAATTACTATTCTAATAGTAAATCCTTCATAAAAGTTATTGCATTACATTCTTGACTAAATTATCTTTCCATTGATATATAACTTTATGGTACTACTCCAAAAAAAAGTGGTGTTATTACTATTAGCTAGTTTTAGAAAATACACTTTTCCCAAAAGGTTTCCACAATTTTGGCCACTACTGTACAGTGGGCTTCCTTTCACTGGGGGCTCAAGCAGCGGCTGAACAATCACCCACCCAGGAAACTTCAATATGGATTCCTGCTTGAATCCAAACATCCTTCAATTGTGACTTTCCTGGCTCTGCTGCCACTCGGGAGTTTTACTTGACCACAGAAATGATCCATGGAAACGATATGGACCTGTCTAGCTTTCCCCCAAAACTGGCCAGACAATCCAACTCTCCAGATTCCTCACCTCACAGCTCCCCACTTTTAATATTAGTACTAATTAACCAATTGATAATTAGTATTAGCGCTATTAGCAGTACAGCTTTATAAAGCCTTAGTAAGGCCTCACCTGGAATCCTGCATCCAGTTTTGATCACCACATTACAAAAAAGATGTTGAGACTTCAGAAAAAGTTGCAGAGAAGAGCAACTAAGAGGATTAAAGGCCTGGGGACTAAAACACATGAAGAACAGTTGCAGGATTTGGGTTTGGCCGGGCTAGAGAAAAGAAGGACTAGGGGGGACAGGATAGAAGTCTTCCAGTATTTGAGGGGTGCCCTGATGAAGAAGGGGTCCACCTGTTCTCCAAAGCACCTGAAGGCAGGAGAAGAAGCAACAGATGGAAACTCATGAAGGAGAGAAGCAACCTGGAATTAAGGAGAAACTTCCTAACAGTGAGGACAATTAATCAGTGGAATGAATTTCTTCCAGAAGTTGTGTGTGCTCCATCACTGATTTTAAGAAGAGACTGGACAGTCACTTGTCTTGAATGGTATAAGATCTCCTGCTTGTGCAGGGGGTTGGAGTAGAAGACCTCCATGGTGACTTCCAGCTCTATTCTGACTGACCGGTTATAAAAATCTTTGTCTTTCCGATCTGGATCTTCTTTTTAATAAACCTGAAACCCAACAATTGTTAACTTTTCTTCTCAGTGCTGTCTCTTTTTCTCTGAGCTTCTCTGAATGCAATAGTCCCACTGTGGCCTGTGGTGGGGCTGGGATAGGGACAGTGAAGCCATCCTGGTTCTTCTTGATCTCTTGATGGTTCTCCATGACACCTATCATTATATTGATCTGGATGAGGGAGTGGAAGGAACAGGATTTGATGGTCATCCTCCTTTCTCCATGACTGGTTCCAGTCAGTATTGATAGGAGGAGAGAGGTCAACCTTGAAATCTTTGGGATGCCTCAGGGCTTGAAGCTCTCACCCCTTCTATTTATCACCTGCATGTGGCTCCTGGGTCAGGTCATCTATTGGTTCAGGATCAAGTATCATCAGTATGCAGAGGGATGCTCAGCTATACATCATGACCCTTGACCAGCCAAGCAATGCGGTCAACTCTTGTCCCAATGCCTGGAGGTTGAGAAGGTTTCAATGAGATGGAACCAGCTCAAATCCAACCCTAGCAGGACTGAGTGGCCGTGACTGGGCCCTTGGGGCTGGGGCTCTTTCATATTTCATCCTGAAAAGACTTCCATTTTCCATATTCCCTTTGGGACTGGTGCATAATCAGAATAAGAGAATAATAACAGAGCAACAGGAAGGGACCTTGGGGCTCTTCTAATCCAACTGCCTGCTCAAGCAGGAGACCCTAGACCAGAGGTCTTCAAACTTGGCAACTTTAAGACTTGTTGACTTCAGCTCCCAGAATTCCAGCATAGCTGGCTGGAGAATTCTGGGAGTTGAAGTCTACAAGTCTTAAAGCTGCCAAGTTTGAAGACCTCTGCCCTAGACCATTCCAGACAAATAGTTGTTCAATCTCTTCTTAAAAGCCTCCAGAGTTGGAGCACCCACAACTTCTGTTGGCAAGCAGTTCCACTGATGAATTGTCCTCACTGTTAGGAAATTTCTCCTGAGTTCCAGGTTGCTTCTCTTCTTGATTAGTTTCCATCGATTGCTTCTTCTCCTGCCTTCAAGTGCTTTGGAGAATAGGTGGACCCCCTCTTCGTTGGGGCAGCCCCTAAATCCTCAATCTGAGGATCCACCTGGAGATGCAGCTCTTGCTTGAAGAGTAGGTGGCAGCTGTGACCAGCTGGGTTTTCACACAGATTCATCTTGTAAGCCATTGCATCCTTTCCTGGTCTGGACGATAGGATGCATTGTAACTATCATTCAAGACAAGCTAACTCATGGATGGACTATTGCAAGTGTTCTACATGGAGCTGCTTTTGGAGGCCATTCCGAATCTGCAACTGGTCAGCCCAAGCAGTGCTGTACAGACCATGCCACACCTACATAACATCCAGATTTCATGTTACACTCACTAACATGGGCTTCTGGATGCCACTTGTCACCTTTGAAGCCCTACATGGCAGATTATTTGAGTCAAGTTCTGCCTCTAGTTTCTGTTCATCCTGTGGTCATCGACAGAGTTGATTCTCTCTGGATCCCGTTGATAAAGCAATGGCATCTAGCACACCTCACGAAAGCACTTGCCCTCTGGTACAGCACCCCCTGACACCTGCACCCCACCTGGCCAGCATTGGAAAGACCATTCAAAACAGGTCTCAGGTCTTGGTGAAGTGTGGTGGTGGGTATCTGTTTTGACCTCTGCTAAAAGAGGTATGGCGATTTCATTGGCTTTTCCCTGTGGTTAATGCAGTCGGTTGGGTTGAAACATGGATTGTACAGTTTTTGCATATGTCAAATATTGATATTGCCCTGATAGGGCAAGCCAGTAGAACATAAACTGAGAGCAAACCCCAGTCCTTACTAGTACTGGCCTAGTTTGGGTCATGAAATACCTGGATCATAAAATGGCTGCAAAAAACCAACTAAGCTCAGACAGCACCAAGAGCACGAAAGTAGTCCTCATCCTCCTCTTTCTCCTCCACAAATCCCACTCCCTTCTAGCGCTGATGATCATAGCTTCTTCTCCTCCTCCTTCTTCTTCTTCTTCTTCTTCTTCTTCTTCTTCTTCTTCTTCTTCTTCTTCTTCTTCTTCTTCTTCTTCTTCTTCTTCTTCTTCTTCCTCCTCTTCCTCCTCCTCCTCCTCCTCCAACCCCCTTCTCTTCTAGCACTGATGATATTCCCTAGCTGGGTAATGAAACATCTGCAAGAAAACAACCAAGCTCAGAGAGCACCAAGGACCCCACAATCTTCCACCTCCTCTGCTTTCTCCTCTCCTTCCTCCTTCCCCTTTTCCTCCTCCTCCACAAACCCCAGGGGTTTGGAGGTCAAGTGACTTAAACATTTAAAAAAATCAAGATTGTAGAATGGGTTAGGGGTGTTCAACTATCTTGTGAAAGACAGAAGAATTCAAATTGTCTCTCCATTACATCAACCTGCATCAACCTGGATGTGAAATTCCCAGCTGGGAGAATAAATAGAGCCAGCAACCCGAGTGTGGGGCAGACGGCTTCATCATGTCTTCTGGAGGTCTTCTTCTCCTGCTGGGACTCCTCAGCCTCTGGGCGGAACTGACCCCCGTCTCCGGCCAGGACCGTCCAAGTGAGCTTTCAGAAAGATCTTGAAACCTTTTGCAGGGATGGGCTGAAGTGCTCAGAGTCCTCCCCCAGGAAAGGGAAACCAAAGACCCCAGTCTAGAAGCTCTGGCTTGGTGGGGCTTCTTCTGGGGAGGTTCTGGAGAAGGTGGTTGGGTCTCAGCTGAGTAGCAGTCAGAAACGGGAGGAGGCCCCAAGAAAGAGAGATGCAATTTTAGGGGAAAGGCTGACCTATCTTTAACTCAATGCAGCAGCATAATCGGGATAATTAAAGGAGAATATTTATAGCTCAGGGTTGAAATGAGGGGGTCTTTGGTGCTCTCTGAGCTTGGTGGTTTTCTTGTAGATGTTTCATGACCCAAATTAGGTAGCATCATCAGAGTTCATGGGGATGTTCCTTACTTTGGTTAATGAAAGTTCAAATCTTCAAACAACTCCTGCCGGCCGCCTTGAAAGAGGCGGTGGTGAGGCCCCTCCTCAAGAAGCCATCCCTGGATCTGGCTATTTTGGCTAACTATCGTCCAGTCTCCAACCTTCGCTTTATTGCGAAGGTTGTTGAGAGTGTGGTGGCGCGACAGCTTCCCCAGTACCTGGATGAAGCTGTCTATCTGGATCCGCTCCAGTCCGGCTTCAGACCTGGGTACAGCACGGAAACGGCATTGGTCGCGTTGGTGGATGATCTCTGGAGGGCCCGGGATAGGGGTTATTCCTCTATCCTGGTCCTATTAGACCTCTCAGCGGCTTTTGATACCATCGACCATGGTATCATGTTGCGCCGGCTGGAGGGACTGGGAGTGGGGGGCACCATTCTGCGGTGGTTCTCCTCCTATCTCTCCGACCGGTCGCAATCTGTGTTGACAGGGGGGCAGCGGTCGACCCCAAGGCGCCTTGTTTGTGGGGTGCCGCAAGGGTCGGTCCTCTCGCCCCTCCTGTTCAACATTTATGTGAAGCCGCTGGGTGAGATCATCCGTGATTTTGGGGTGGAGTTCCATCAGTACGCTGATGATACTCAGCTGTACATTTCCACCCCAGACCATCCCAATGATGCCTTGGAAGTGATGTCCCAGTGCCTGGAGGCCGTGCGGGTCTGGATGGGGAGAAACAGGCTTCGACTCAACCCTTCCAAGACCGAGTGGCTGTGGCTGCCGGCGTCCCAGTATAGCCAGCTGACGCCATCGCTGGTTATTGGGGGCGAATCATTGGCCCCCACGGAGAGGGCCCACAACTTGGGTGTCCTCCTGGATGCGCGGCTGTCTTTAGAAGGGCATATGACAGCCGTGGCCAGGGGGGCTTTTTGTCAGGTTCGCCTGATACGCCAGTTGTGCCCCTTTCTGGACCGGGACTCCCTACGCACGGTCACTCAAGCACTCATCACTTCTCGTCTGGACTACTGTAATGCTCTCTACATGGGGCTCCCCTTGGGGTACACCTGGAGGCTCCAGCTGGTCCAGAACACGGCTGCGCGGGGGATTATGGGAGTGACGGGGCGCTCCCATGTGACTCCTCTCCTGCGTGAGCTGCATTGGCTTCTGGTGGACTTCCTGGTGCGCTTCAAGGTGTTGGTGACCACTTTTAAAGCGCTCCATGGCTTAGGGCCGGGGTACCTACGGGACCGTCTTCTGCCACCAATTGCCTCCCACCGGCCAGTTCGCTCCCACAGAGAGGGCCTCCTCAGGGTGCCGTCGGCCAGACAATGCCGGCTGACGACCCCCAGGAGGAGAGCCTTCTCTGTGGTGGCACCTGCCCTCTGGAACGACCTACCCCCAGAGATACGAGTGATCTCCGACCTCCGGATTTTTCGTCGGGCCCTAAAAACTTATTTTTTTCAGCTAGCCGGTCTGTCCTGATTTTAGGGTTAGTTTTAAAATTTTAATATTTATTTTAATTGACAAGTTTTAAATTATGGGCCGAATTTATAAATTATTTTAACTTTATTTTTTAACTGTGATGTTTGTATAGATGTTTTTTATCTGGCTGTTCACCGCCCTGAGTCCGAAAGGAGAAGGGCGGTATAGAAATTTGAATAAATGAAATGAAAATGAAATGAACTACCAAGCTCAGAAAGAACCAAAGTCCCCTCAGAATCAGGATTTTAAGCAACAGGGAACTGTCATTCAGCCATCCGGTCCAATCAGTGCAGGAAACCAAATGTTTTAATCTTAAATGGCTGTTTGCAGACTGAGCATGACCAGAGGGCGCCAGGTTGGGGAAGTGAGTTAAAGACTTTTGTGCTAGCCAATCAAGTAACATCCCTCACCCTTTCCATTTGTCACAGAGTTTTGTTATCTTTCTGCTGACCCTGGATCATGTAAAGCCAAAATGCCTCGCTTCTACTACAACTCAGCTTCAAAACAATGTGAAAAGTTTGTTTACACTGGATGCAAAGGGAATGACAATAACTTTAAGACCCTGGATCAATGTCGCTACACCTGTGTTGGTAAGTAGGGGAAGAGCTGAGGACGGACTCTTCCAACAGAAGAGAATGTTTGTGGCTCAGGGATGAACTGTGAGGTCCTTGGTGCCCTCTAAGCTTGGTGATTTCACAGAATGGGACCTTGGAGGTCTTCCAGTCCAGCCCCCTGTTGTCTTGCAAATGTTTCATGACCCAACTAGGTAACGTCTTCAGGGCTAAGAGGGAATAGGAGTTTCTAAAAGAGCCCTGGTGGCCCAGTGGTTAGAATGTAATATTGCAGCTTGGAGTTCAATGCTGATGGGACTCAAGGTTGACTCAGCCTTCTATCCTTCCAAGGTCGGTAAAATGAGGGTTGTTGTGGGGAAATATGTGGACTCTGTAAAGGGCTTAGAGAGGATTGTAAAGCACGGTGAAGTGGTATATAAGTCTAAGTCAGTGATGGCTAACCTTTTTGCCGTCGTGTGCCAAAAGCGAGGGTAGTTGGGGGGGATTGCGCGTGTGCGTGCCCACACCGATAATTCAATGCGCCCCGTCCTCCTATGCATGCACAAGTGACCCCCCCCACTCTCCCCCCGCTTTTGGCATGCAATGGCCCGGTGGGCCCAGTAGGCCCATTTTTTTGCCCTCCCCAGGCTCCTGAGCCTTTCTAGGAGCCTGGGGAGGGTGAAAACAGCCTTCCCCATTCCCCCGGAGGCTCTCCGGAGGCCCAGAAACAGCCTGTTTCCCGACTGGATCCGGAAGGCCCAAAAATCAGTTGGCCAGCGCGCACATGCGTGCTGGACTGAGGTAGGGCAATGCTCGTGTGCCCACAGATATGGCTCCGTGTGCCACCTGCGGCACCCGTGCCATAGGTTCGCCATCGCGGGTCTAAGTGCTATCACTATTGCTGTATTTAGTAACTTCCTTTACCAATATTGATGGGGTGTATTTTCTCCTTGGTAGCTCCTTGAATAGGATATTGTTTTCTACTTGTTTGTCTCTGTTTATTTGGGTGTGGTATGACTTAGCCCCTCGGCCATGTGCTGTCCCAGAACCACCAAGGAAGCCAGTTCTGGATTAGCCCAGATGTGTGTGCTGAGTGGCCCAGCTCAGAACTTCAACCTCACTCTCTGAAGCTCCTCTGCATTGAGCCTAAGAACTTCAGGGCAAGGAAAGAGGCCTCCTCTAGATGTCCAGAGGGAGAGCGCTACCTTTCCCCCTCTGTTTTTGGAGAGAGGGCTTCAGGAATGTGCAGAGCCAGCAGAGAAAGTCTCTACTACTCCCATTCCCTAGAATCCCTTCCTGATGGAGAAGGTAGACCAAGATGGACCCACAGCAGACCTAAAGGGGAATCATCTTCCTATTTGGTTGAAACGGGAGGTGCACCTTCCTATTCCCAAGTCAAGAGAGAGGAGCCCAGTTATGAAGTCCAGCGCAGGGTCCTGAGAGGTCGACCCCAGGAGGAAATGGCTGTGCTTTGAGAGGAAGGGAGTGAGGATGTTCCAGCTGGTGCATCTCACCCTGCTTGCTCGAAGAGGATGAAAGCTCCAGAGATGAAATTTTGCTTGCTCTGGGGCTCCAATTCCAGAAGAATCTCTCGGTGTAATGTGTGTGTGAAAGACTTTGGGGAACTGGGTGAAGAGATGCTGCCAAGGGAACAGTCGGATAAGAGACTGTTGACTCAAGGTTGACTCAGCCTTCCATCCTTTCTAAGGTGGGTGAAATGAGGACCCAGATTGTGGGGGCAATAAGCTGACTTTGTACAAATATACAAAAGTATGAAGGCTATTGCTTAACGCATTGTAAGCCTGAGTCTCCATAGAAGGGTGACATATAAATTAAAGCAAAAAAAAAAAAAAAAGACTGCCTAGCCGGAAGCTGCACAATGGGTGGATAAAGAGGCTCAGAAGAGACCCTCCCTAGTAGCTCAGTCTGTAAAGGAGACAGTGAGAGATTTGTCCTTTCAGACCTGCAAGATTCTGTTAATGTAACTTTGCAATAACTCAGAATTAGCTTATCTGATTGTGTTTCTTGCCTTGTCTACCTGGTAAGTCTGACACTCAGCCTGGGGATCTTCTATTTTGCAGAAAAGCCTGGGGTGTGTCCCAAGAGCCTTCCGAACATACTCACTCCTTGTATCGCGAAGTGTGCAAATGACTGGAAATGCCCTAAGAATCAGAAGTGTTGCAAGCATGGTTGCACGATTAGCTGCAGGAATCCTGCCTAAGGTAACACCTGTAGGATGATATTTGTTTAGTTTGCTTAGACACCCCCCCCCCCTCAGGCTTTCCGTGTTTCCGACAAAGGTATAATTAAAGTAAAAAAGAAAAGTGGAGTGATCTTTAAACCCCAAGCAGGCACACCAACTTTGGTGAGATGTGGCGGGACTCTTCATCCAGATAGATAGCCACCTCCATTTGGTGGAAGCCTACTGACTGACCCTCCACATCCCCCTCCCACTGTCTCTTGGCTTCTCCTCCTCCTGAACCACCATTGAGAGATAATGGTGGATGCCCGGTTTAGCAGCTGCTGCTGCTGGGCACTGTGTTGGAGAAGAGACTCCTCCTGCCGGCCTGGTCAGGAAGCCAGAAGACCCCAGGCAACCAGGACTCCCAAGAGAAGGAGAGGCCAGGACAGAACTCGTTGCCCACCTTGGTCCAGCTCATCCTCTGGGCAGACCACAACTGGTCCATGCTCAGATGACAGGAAGGTCCAGAGCTTCATCTGGGGAGCCAAAGATAAGCTCCCATTTCTGGTTGTGAGAAATGCTCCCTGTCTGAGTTAGGAAGCTCAAGTGAACATGCCATCATCCGTGCTCTGAGAAGTGGCCTTGTGGTCTCCTAGAAAGAGGGGAGAAAAGACTAGTCCACCCTTCTTCTAGTGCAGAAATCCTCAGTGCATCCTGGACAGATGGCTGTCCCACCTTTGCTTGAAACCTTCAGTGATGGAGTCCCGTAACTCCAAGGGGGAGGCTGACTTGTTGCTTCCTGGCTCTCTCCCAATCTAGGCTATTCCTCCTGATTTCAGCTTTGGGTCTCCCTGGTTGCAAGATGAGGCAGGGTGAAGCACTGGAGGCCGTTCTGGGCAGAAAGCTCATATCTGAATGTTTGTTTTTACAGGATCCCCAACGAGGAGACCCACCAGAATTGGATCCAATGTTCCAACTTGACCCAGAGACCCTTCTTCTGTCCTGGATCACCCTGGAGACCCTCCCCCCAAAACCCACCCTGGGCTCATTCCTTCTGTTCTTCAATAAAGCTTTGGGTCCCCGCTTCCCTCTCAGTCTCAGTCTCTTCCATAATGTGTCTGTAGTCATCCAGGTCATGGTTGTCCCCAAGGTGCTTTTTCTCATCCATGATGAGAAGCGAAATGTCTTCAAAGAAAACACCAGAAAGTCCAGTTGCCTCCTGAAAAAGCACCTTTGGGATTTCCATAATGTGGTTTTTCCAGAGGGAACGAGGCAGCCGTCTGCTGCAGCTGCCAAAAAAGCCAATGCAATCCTGGGCTGCATCAACAAAGGGATAGCATCAAGATCACGAGAAGTGAGAATACTGCTTTATATCACAGTAGTGAGGCCACATTGGAATAACCGTGTCCAATTCTGCTCACCACAATACAAAAAAAGATGTGGAGACTCTAGAAAGAGTGCAGAGAAGAGCAACGAAGAGGATTAGGGGACTGGAGGCTAAAACATAGGAAGAACGGTTGCAGGAACTGGGCCTGGCTAGTCCAGTGAAGAGAAGGACCAGGGGAGACATGAGAGCAGCCTTCCAGTATTGGAGGGGCTGCCACAGGGAGGAGGAAGGGGGTCAAGCTGTTTTCCAAAGCACCCGAAGGCCAGACAAGGAACAATGGACGGAAACCGATCAAGGAGAGATTCAACCTAGAAATGAGGAGGAACTTTCTGGCAGAACAGTCAACCAGCGGAACAGGAGTTGTGGGAGCTCCATCACTGGAGGCTTTCAAGAAGAGACTGGACTGCCATCTGTCAAAAATGGTGTAGGGTCTCCTGCTTGGGCGGGGGGTTGGACTAGATGACCTACAAGGTCCCTTCCAACTCTGTTAATCTAAACAATTTATGCACCAAGACAAATTCCTTGTGTGTCCAATCACACTTGGCCAATAAAAATTCTATTCTATTCTATTCTATTCTATTCTATTCTATTCTATTCTATTCTATTCTATTCTATTCTATTCTATCTAAAGCACGTAGCATCAGAGTAGCAGACAAGCCAACTAAATCCATCCTAAGCAAACCAAAAGATCCAGCAGCCCCACACATAAAAACTGGAGTCCTCTACAACATACAATTGAAAGACGGCAACAGCCACCACGTAGGGCAAAGAGGCAGAAGGCCTCCATCAACACCAATTAGCAGTCAGAAGAGAAGATGAAAACTCTTCAATTGCCCAACACATGGACAGTCAAGGAAGACCAGCCCCACCCTGACAGGGCAAGCCAGTAGGATATAAACTGAGAGCAAACTCCAGTCCTTACTGGAGGACTGGCCCAGTTTGGGTCATGAAACATCTGCAGGAAAACCACCAAGGTCAGAGGGCACCAAGGACCCCAACGTCTTCTTTTTCCCCCTCCTCCCCCCTCCCCCTGGCCAGATCTGCTGCCTGAAATGCAATGCCCTTTTTTTTGCCTCCGCACACCCCATGGAATCGGGAAGGGGATCACAGGTCTGCCGCCCAAAAATGCTTTCCTTTGGAATCCTGATGCCAAAGGAAAGCATTTTCGGGCGGCGGATCTGGCCAGGAGGAAAGAGAAGGTGAGTCTGCTGAGAAGGAGGACGGGGGCGCGCGGCTTTGCAATGGGAAGAAAAGCACTTTCAGGCGGAAGCGCTGCAATCCCCTCCCCGAATCCAAAACGGTTCCCAGTTCCCCACTGCACATTGCCACCTGAAACGCGGCTCTGATTATTGCGTTGGGGAAATCCGGCAGCGGTGGCTGGAAAGGAGGGGCGTTTTTCTTTAAGAGCTCTCGTTTGGCTCGCTCGGCTCCTGGGCGCAGAAGGCTTAGGCGGTGTTGCAATATTTTCAGGATCAGACTCAATAAGATTAGCAAGAGTTAAAGATTTAACTATATATTCTTTTATTTACATTAGGCATTCTATATTCACTGAATATTCACAGATAGAAGCAAGGGAAAGGGTGTAGGTAGCTCCTTATATATACAATGGGTGGAGCTATATGTGGGAGTGGTGAATTATGAATACATTAAGAAGTGAAGAATAAGTTAACCCCTGATACCCTGTCTGTACACTATTTACACATTAGAGAATAAGGCATTTACATCTGACAAATCCCCCTCTAAATGCCGATTCGTTATACAACACCAGTTACACTCAGATTCAGGACAATACAAAACATACAACTTAGAGGTTAAATATTTATGCTGCTTAGAAGGTAAAGGCTTTGTCAATATATCAGCTAATTGTTCTGAAGTGTCGCAATGCACTGCTTTAATAAATCCATCCTGAGATAATTGTCTCACATGTTTAAATTTTATATCTATATGTCTGGACCTTTGTCCAATGGCATCAGATCTAGATATTTCAATGGCTGCTTTATTGTCTTCATGCATAACAAAGGGCAGAGCAGGTTTTTTCCAGACATCTGAAATTAAATCATTAAACCATACAAGGTTATTTGCGGCTTTGGATAAACAAACATATTCCGCTTCTGTCGTTGAAGTGGCCACTAGTTCTTGTTTACCAGTGTACCAGTAAACTGGACAGTCATTTAAGAGAAATACATAACCAGATGTACTTTTTCTGCATGAGGTGTCTCCAGCCCAATCTGCATCTGCATAACACGTAAGCTTTGGTTCTTTAATATCATTAGGCTCTAACATTAAACAAAAGTCTAGTGTACTTTTTAGATATCTTAAAATTCTTTTAACAGCTTCCCAGTGATACATTGTTGGTTTGCTGACATGCCTAGATAATAAATTGAGTGGTAAAGCGATATCTGGTCTAGTCCAATTAGATATGTAAAGGAGTGAACCTATGATTGATCTATAGAATGTATTGTCCTTGAACTCGGGAGAAGATTCATCAGAATTTCTTAGAAAGTCAGTTTGCATAGGGGTATCACAAGGTTTGGCATTGTTTAAGTTGCATTTATTTAAAAGTTCTATGATCTTATCTCTCTGGGTAAGTTTGAATCCCCTTTTTGTCTTATTAATTTGGACACCAAGGTATTTGTTTACCTTGCCTAAAGATTTCAATGAGAAATGCTCATTTAGTTTAGTTACAAAAGTTTCTCTTCTTTCTTTATGTTTTCCTATGTATAAAATGTCATCCACATAAATCAATACAAATTCAATGTAATCATCACCCCTCTTGACAAAGAAACAATTATCAGCAGTGGTAGCGTTGAAGTCCATGGTCTTAAGTACTTTTACTAAACAATCATACCACCGTTTACCAGATTGTTTTAGCCCGTATAAACTCTTGTTTAACAACCAAGTCTCATTTCTGTTTGTGTATTGACTATGAGGTGCTCTCACGTATATTTCTTTATCTAATTTTGCGTGTAGGTACGCAGTCTGTATGTCATATTGGAATACATCAAGATTGAGTGCTGATGCTACCACTAGAGCTGTTTTGACACTCTCTGTTCTTACAGTGGGGGAATACGTGTCAGTATAGTCCTCCGGATATTTCTGTGCATAACCCTGTGCAACTAATCTAGCTTTGTATAGAGTATTTCCTCCCTCTAAATTCTTAATTTTATATATCCACCTGGTACCAATAATTGTCTTATCTTTAGGTGCAATTGCAGGTGTAAATACATTTAATCTTTGTAAACTTTCCATCTCTTTCTTCATTGCTAATTCCCATTTTTCTTTTTCTTCGTGAGGAAGTTTTAACACTTCCTCGTATGTATTGGGTGTTGTTGGTTCACCATCCATGTGCATTACATAATCCTTGTATTTATTTGGCATTTGATTTCTGGTGTTTCTAATGATTTTTTCGGGTTTACTATCGTTATCATGCAAATATCTTGCTTCCTTTTTTGTTAGTGTGTCTGTCTTTATTTTGTGTTGGCTATTTGTCCAAGTTTTGGTTTTGTTTTTATATTTGTTGATATTTTGCTTTTCTATAGTCCCTTTCTCATGAGGTTTTGTATCTTCATGTTTATTTGGGAATATCTCATTAAGATGTAATTTAGACCAGTTAGCTTGTTCATGGAACACAGCTGTTCTGGAGACTATAAAT